GGGCGGCGCCCTCTCGCGGCCGCTGCCGCCGCTCAGACCAATGATACCCATTTTGATTCTGACCACTGACAAATTATCTCATCATTACCAGGAGGATGTCGGTGATATCTATATGTTATCGTCAGAGCGTGTTGCGCGGACGACACTGAGCTATGAGTGAAGGCCTCGGAAGCTGGGGGCCGGCGGCCAGGAGCCGAAGGCCGCGGACGGCAGGCACGTCCTGCCTTCCACAAGCGCACTCCACGTGCTGCATAAGAATCATCAGCTTCCATTCGCCATTCCAGCAGGGGTTTTACTGACACTGTACCTTTTTTAATCTATATTTTTGAGGTGGACAGGAAATGAGAGTTTCGTTACTTCGCGCCTGCTATACATAAAAAAGATGTAAAATTTAATATCTTCTGCGATATCACAAATCATTGGGTGAATGCTACCAACACACAATTAACAAACACTCCCTTGAATAAGTAATACTATCCAAGGAAAGATAGGAAGCGCATATAGTGTCTACAGCAATGACACGAAAATTTTGAATAACGAGTATATCATTTGGGCCTGAAGAACAAAGGAGGAAACGTGCATCAGATCAATGGGTTAAGGGTCAAGGATCAGATCAATGGGTCAAGGGTGAAAGGGAGACGAGGACGTGAGCGAGGATGAGAGAGACAGAGAGGTTAGAGCGCGCGTGACAGTGAGAGCAACGAGGAAAATAAGGGACAGTCGTAGTGAGGGTTGACGAGAGGAATGGTTGTGGCAGAGGGAGAGGGAGAGAGGAGGAGCGTGAACGAGGGTGAAGGAGAGAGCAAAGGCAAGGGCGAGTCGAGAGTGAGGATGAGGGCGCGAACAAGTGCGAAGGAGTGGGCAAGGGCGACAGCGAGGGCGTGAACGAGGGCGTGAACGAAGGCTGAATGAGCGAGGGGTGAGGGGGATGGTGTGTGAGTAAACGCGAGTTGCCTGGAGGCCGGCGGCGCGGCGTGAAGACGTTACAGCGCCAGACAGCGACGCTAGGTGCCGCATGTTTTAGTGTCCATAAAGCACCGAGGCGTAATTGAGACGTGGTGCGCCGCTGTCACCGCCTCCGCCGGCAGCCGAGGCCTTCGCTCCCGCAGAGCCACTCCCATCCAATGCTGTCTTCGCCCTAACCTCGCTCCGCATGGAAGCAAATACACGGGGTACTCGCCCGTTCTGGTTGGCTGCCGGATGGTGTCGAACACGAGCAGAACAGTGTCGATAGCGAGATGCTAGTTGGACCTCTTCCAAAAGGAATCATTTTGAGTACCTCATTTTCAGTTTTTATGAAGGGAGACTCATCACCCTTGTTTCACAGTACAAGCGTAGGGAAATTCGCTGGCTGCTGAGGTCAATCGGTTATCCCCGCCAGCCACGATTTTATTCACGCATTCATCCACCGGCTATATACGACTACGATATCCCGTGAATTTACTAAACATACTAAACATGAATTTTATTTTAAGGTGATTTAATATATTAGAAGAAAACTCATACAAATACGCGCGTTTTTCACGCTCTGAAAGGAAATAATTTAAATTACGCTAATAACGTATTCTCAAATTAGGACAAGAATGATACACGTATGTGCTAAACTATTATGCTATAGTGGTTGGTGCCTGTCACAAATTCTGACAATACTGTAGATGTCGTTGCAGCTGACTGTAATCTCAAAATGTATTGAAGTATGCGATGAAAATATTTTGTTCCTCGAATATATATAGCCATATACCATCAGGTCTTTTTCACATAATAAAAACATCAGTTTTGTATTCCCGAGAGTATCACGTCTCCGGATTCACAAATATTTTTAACTGTAAAGTGGAAGTACTCACCTTCTAAAATAGTGTCCATTGTGCGACGATACAACGAGTTACGAAGGTAGTGCATTGCAGGCATGAAGAAGACTTCTTCCGGTCTTTCGGGAAGGAAGTAGACTACCAACTCCGAATTGGCAGGGATGTTTTTGATGGCTTCATACATGGGTTCACCTAAAGGATAAAGAAACAAATTTGCTACAAATTACATGAAAACATTGATTGTTTGAAATGTGAGTGAATTACAATAAATTAATTCGTTTATCAAGTAGGTGAAGCGTTTTTCGATATACCAATCCATGAGAGTTAGAGTCAATAATACTGTATTATCAATTCATTAGTATCCAAACACATTCTGTTAATATAGAAAATACCTATTCTTAACGTTTTAGAATAAAATACGTGTAGTCAATAAATAGATCGTTGTATACAATACGTACTCGTTGGATAAACAAATATTAATTTAATCCAACTGCGTCTACACGAACAACCTTTTTTTTGGTAATGTGTTCTCTCGGTAATGTAATGTGTTCTTTCGGTGATGTAATGTGTTCTCTCGGTAATGTAATGTGTTCCCTCGGTAATGTCATGTGTTCCCTCGGTAATGTCATGTGTTCCCTCGGTAATGTCATGTGTTCCCTCGGTAATGTCATGTGTTCCCTCGGTAATGTTTTCCCGGAAATGTGTTCCTTCGGTAACGTGTTCCTTTGGTCAAAACATTTATTTCGGTAAACTGATCTTTCGGTAATCTGGTACATTTGTAAACTGTTCATTCGGTGAACGCCGAGAGTGCCTAGCGCTTGCCACCTGCCGCGCGCGGCGGCGCGCTCACCTTTGTGCTTGTTGCCCACCAGGTTGACCTCGTCGCTGTAGGTGGGCGCGGCGCGCAGGAAGCGCACCCAGTTGCAGTGGCGCACGCGGCGCCGGTCCACCTCCGTGATCTCGTCGTAGCAGCCGAAGCGGTGGCGGATCTGCGCAGACAACAGACGGCCACGTCAGCCACCACCCACACGCAACGGGAAGGCACATGGGAGATCTTTGCCGAGTACTCTACCGCTGTATCGACGTCACACAACCAAACAGACGGACGAAAGGCCACTTAACTGACGGCGTCCGTTCACGTTTTTACCAGTACTCCTATTTCTCCTGACTTATTCTATGATTCAATCTCCTTCGTAATTACATCCCATCACAATTGTTCACCCATTCTAAGTATGGACACAAGACTTAGGCACTGGCATCGTAATAAAAAATAAAGTCCCTAGCCGTTTTGGCCATACCTGCAATGAATGGCTTTGATGGGGCAGTGGTGGTGATGATGATGAGAGTAGTGGTACAATGAAAGACAAAGGACACAGGAGAACCGCGAGAAAACCTGCCGCAAACTGTTTTTGCTTACCATAATCCACATGAATAGGCCGGGCTTGAAACATTCTTAGCTAATTTTTGTACGATCTTAGTAACTAGAAATGTGATTGAGGAAGAGAGGGATAGCATAGATGGAGTTCCAGAAGACGCAATATCAGTTACAAAAGATGGATTTCAAAGCTGTTTACTATTGGTTATAAGAACTAAGGAAATCGACGTTAAAGATCACCACTAGCCAATTTAGCAAGTGTAATTTTCAACGCAGAGAGACAAGGAGTAAACATCTACTTTTACTACACTGAAGAACTCAATGCAATTCAATAATAATAAAAGGGCAAAATAAATCATCAAACTAGATATTAAAAACAGGAGACGCCGGCATATTTATAACAGCATTCAAACGATGACGGACGTTTAATACTTTCGGAACAAAATAATGAGACAATAAAAACTATTAGATATACAATTTTACGCCACGGTTTTATAATGCAATAGACAAATGGACATAAAACACAAGTGGTCATCTCGGATCTGTTTATTATGAGTTACTGGTAAAGACAATAAATATTTTCTTGCAAGTCCGACATGATATACTTAGGCGATTCGAACCACCCCGTCGTAAGAAAAATTACACTTACAGCAGTATATCAACAGGTTTCAATGTTTGTTTTAGAGGAATGGAGTACAAATCATAGGGGGACGCTGTGATAACTGAACACTTATCGACGATTATATTTGCGAAATTGCTTCACTGTGTAGTGCAGCATATCTGCAGTTTATAAAACAGAGATTCGCGAAAAGAAAGTTTTTCTTTACTTAAATAAGACGACACGCTAAATTCGCTTCAACGAAAGACATTGTCGCCGGTGCATAGCTCACAGAGTCTCTGAAGCGAGAAAAAGGAGAAAGAAAGATCGAGCGGCGACGGTGAACTATCCATAAGTGGCTCCTCCGGCGGTGGCGGTGGTGGTGGCGCGGGGGGCAGGGGCG